GCCCACTCTGATGATTTCTTGGTTTTTCTTCACATTCTTGCAGTTTTTTTTTATTATATACCAACACTTGGACGCATACTCTCGGGCCTCTCATGTACAAACAAACTTACATAAGATACAGGCCTTTTCGTTATCTGGTGCCTCATCAACCAAATCGCAAACTCTTCTCCAGACAAGTCTATTACTGCATGACATTATCGCACTTCACGATCTGTCCTGGCATACTTAGCGTCTCCTTTAATCTTGTTTCTAGCTTAACGAGACTAGTTCTATTAGTCACTCATGCAATTTGTTGAATCTGCATGTCATATTTACTCACAGTCCTCACTATTACTACTTGGTCGTTCCACATTTCTTATCACACTGAGTCTCTCTCACATGCGGCGTGTTCTTCATGTCACTATTGCTCATATCAAGTTCTTTGATAAACTTGGGTCTATTATGCGTCAGTTCCTTCACCAGAAAATTTTACCCATGGCTAGTCTAGCCTCTCTCTGTTTTCCTTGGACACAAGACGAATTGGGTATATTAAATCCTCAATTCCAAATTCCAACAAAAAGTCTTTACCAAGCGATGGTTAAAGCCCTCTATATATCCACCAGCGTGTTGCTCCTTTTTCACTCCACGGATACAACACAGTCTTCATCCTGCCCAAACACACGGCGATATTCGACCACCTTTGTTGTTTCCACGTCTGCGACACCATCATTTTTTGTTCTGTCCACAATGAAGCCCATTCCGCGCAACTTCTCTTTTGTCACTGTTGGCTACTTTATTTTTGTGATCCTTCTGGACGTACTACAACAAGTTGGCGGAGGATTTTAGCGTCTGATACGTTTATATATGATGAAGAGTTAGAGGCCGTCCGTCCTCGATCACCCAACGAAAGGAATTCATCTCCATACCTCATTTCCAAACTGTTTTGCTATTTTTCTACTGAAAGAGCCACCCTTATCCCCCCTTTAACATCCCTCTCTCTACTTGCCCACAAAACCACTGGCTTTCACCTGTTCTTTATTTGTTGCTGCTCTTAATCCAAAATATGCCCTATTTAGTACTCTTGGTACCCATAGTTTTTGTGCTATATGCCGCAACCCATTCAAAGCTCTACTTGCTTCTTTGCCACTCACCCCACGACAATGGTGCACCTTTTGGTCATTTCCTATCCCTCACTCATCTGATAATATATGGTATCGAACTATCCTCAATACCCTCTCATTCCAAATCACCCTCTACCACCATGCATCTGCACTATTTGACACTGTAGTATACACACCGCAATTGAGTGAAGTGCATACTCGACGACCAAACACTGGTTACCTCTTGCTGATGAACCTGACAAGTTAACAATCTCCGGAGCTGTTACACACCAGGCACACGTACACTACACACTCGAACAGTGCAAACCAACCATTACACAACAGGGTTTTGATTTACATGGATTTTAATAGTATCAAATATAAGTAATATTACTCTGACTCGCTTTAATAAACAAAGCTTTCAAAACATCTACTTTTTCCTATATTGAGATACTAGCTCAATAATAATCCCGAATACCTCAGTGTACCTCAGTGTGTGTATACGAAAAACTGCATAATTTATTTTAAATAGCCGTACGGTAAAATCTGGCGGATTAATCAATAAACAGCACCGACAAAAAAAAAAGGAAACTATCAATAGTGCTTTTGAGAAATGATATATTAATATTAGATAATTAGTAAATCTCAGCTATATACTCTTTATAGAATAAAATCTAAACTCTTAATCAGTTTACGTGAATGGAATAAGAATTTTTACAAATGGTTTATGTGTATGCACCTTGAACCTTGAACCTGAATAAACTTATTCGAAGGAGTATTCAAGCAATCATGATTGTTTTTATCTTGATTTTGGGAACTTGAGACGGCGGGTGTATTTGGTGACCATCGCCATTTGGAAGAGAAAAGCAGCGACATTAGGAGATTGAAACTTGTAGAACGAGGGAGAAAAATAAAAAGTAATAGTAGTTGGCTGTAAAGAGGTCAGTAATCCGACTCTAGACACTATACAGCTCGAAAGCTCTTCCTAATAATAAAGTCTCTTACTATTTACTTTGCCCCCACTCAAGTACTCTGTTCAAAACACGTGTATTCAAAATTGCAAATGATTGGCTCATGTCAAAATAAAAAAAAAAGAACGCGTCTCAAATTGTGTGGCCCAAATATTATAACGCGTTTTAAAAAAAGAAACACTCTCACGGTATTATTTTTCTTCTTTGCGCTTTTTCATTAGTTTACTCCAATGTACAGCAACACCAGCAGCAGCAGCAGCAGCATCAGCACCCAGAAAAAAGTGTCGTCCAACGGCTCACTTGTGTTTGGCCCAAAGGCCATTCACAAGCATGTCCCAAAGCTGTTGAGACACACAATTCTGGTTAGATTAGCCAAAACTAATCTAGCCAAAGTTTTTGATCGAAAGATCAAAAAAGTGAAAATGATTGGTAAGTCATGTCTCTATATAATAGTAGATAAACAATATAATATTAATCAATAATATACCTATAGCACCAGACCTGCCCAAGGGGCTTAAGCGACGATTGGAGAAAGAAAATGAGCTGGAGCACAAAGCTCCAGCTCATTTTATCAAGCAAAAGAAAATGAGAATTGAAGAAGCAGGAATAAGAAGAAGAGACATTGATGCAAAAGAAGCAGAAAGAAGAAGAAGAGCAGAAAGAAGATATGTAGAAAGAGTAAGAAGAGCAGAAAGAAGAAGAAGACAAGCAGAAAGAGACGAAAGAAGAAGAGAAGAAGAAAGAAGAAGAGAAGAAGAGAGAAGAAGAGATGAAGAAGATGGTGATTATGAAGATGATGAAGAGGATGATGAAGATGAAGAAGAGGATGATGATGATGATGAAGAAGAAGAAGAAGAAGACGAAGAAGAAGAAGAAGAAGAAGAAGAAGAAGAAGAAGAAGAAGAAGAAGAAGAAGAAGAAGAAGAAGAAGAAGACGAAGTAGTAGTGAAGGAAGAAGAAGAAGACGAAGACGAAGTAGTAGTGAAGGAAGAAGAAGAAGAAGACGAAGTAGTAGTGAAGGAAGAAGAAGAAGTAGAAGTGAAGGAAGAAGAAGAAGAAGAAGAAGAAGAAGAAGAAGTAGAAGTGAAGGAAGAAGAAGAAGAAGAAGAAGAAGTAGAAGTGAAGGAAGAAGAAGAAGAAGAAGAAGAAGAAGAAGAAGAAGTGAAGGAAGAAGAAGAAGAAGAAGAAGAAATAGAAGGAGAAGAAGGAGAAGAAGAAGAAGAAGAAGAAATAGTAGTAAAAGAAGAAGAATTAGAAGATGAAGAATATGAAGAATATGAAGAATATGAAAAGTATCATATTGATACATTTGCATATGTTAAAGAATATGACGAAGATTATGAAGAAGAAGAAGAAGTAGAAGTGAAGGAAGAAGAAGAAGAAGAAGAAGAAGATGAAGATTATGAAGAAGAAGAAGAAGTAGAAGTAAAGGAAGAAGAAGAAGAATATGAAGAAAATGAAGAAGACGAATATCACGCTTATCATTATAGTACTTATGAATATCGTAAAGATTATGATGAAGATTATGAAGAAGAAGAAGAAGTAGAAGTAAAGGAAGAAGAAGTAGAATATGAAGAAGATGAAGATTATGAAGAAGAAGAAGAAGTAGAAGTAAAGGAAGAAGAAGTAGAAGTAAAGGAAGAAGAAGTAGAAGTAAAGGAAGAAGAAGTAGAATATGAAGAAAATGAAGAGTATGAAGAAGAAGAATATAGTGAAGATGACGATGATTATGAAGATGCCGAAGAATAAGAAGAAGAGTTGGCAACAGGAAGCAACAGAAGCAACATACTAACATACTAACAAGCAACAGATACTAACAAGCAACGGGAACTAACAAGCAACGGGAACTAACCTTACTCACAACTAACTACAAACAATTAACTTTTTGAACAACTAACATTATGAACAACTAAAATTACTAACAACTAACTTTACTAGCAAAATCCGGATCAGAGTCATAGCTAGAGTTAGAATTAGAGTCATAGCTAGAGTTATAATTAGAGTTATAGCTAGTGTTAGAATTAGAGTCATAGCTAGAGTTATAATTAGAGTCATAGCTAGAGTTATAATTAGAGTCATAGCTAGAGTTAGAATTAGAGTCATAGCTAGAGTTAGAATTAGAGTCATAGCTAGAGTTAGAATAAGAGTTATAGCTAGAGTTAGAATAAGAGTTGTAGCTAGAGTTAGAATTAGTTATAAGCATAGCCAAAAAAAATCAACTCTTATATATTTTAACCAAAATGTGTTATTATATATATTAGGAGCTTTGCTCCCCCCCTCCCCTCGGGGGAAGGGGTCATTGGCCTATGAAGTTTTATATAACTTTTCTCTACTGTCAATTGTGTACGGCACACAATTACCAAGTAGTATAGGCTTCATATTTTATTTTATTGAGAAACAAGTAAGTTAGATAATACGTGACAAAATTTATAAGTTGTATGACATGATATCTAACTTCATCCTGTTTTTTCTAATTAGACTAGGAGCTTTGCTCCCCCCTTCCTCTCAGAGGGTGACCCCATTGGCCTATGTTAAGTTCTATATGACTTTTTCTTACTGTTAATTGTGTGCCGTACACAATTACCAAGTAGTATAGGCCTTATATTTTATTTTATTGAGAAACAAGTAAGTTGAAGAATACGTGACGAAAGTTATAAGTTGTATGACATGATCTCTAACTTCATCCTGTTTTTTTCTAATTAGACTAGGAGCTTTGCTCCCCCCTCCTCTCAGAGGGTGACCCCATTGGCCTATGTTAAGTTCTATATGACTTTCCCCTACTGTTAATTGTGTGCCGTACACAATTACCAAGTATTATAGGCCTTATATTTTATTTTAATGAGAAACAAGTAAGTTAGAGAATACGTGACGGAAATTATAAGCTGTATGACATGATCTCTAACTTCATCCTGTTTTTTCTAATCAGATAAAATAAAATGAACTGCTGGGAGCATGGCTTTTAGCTAAAAGTCTAAATACGGGATAAAAGTCGAGATAAAAGCAACTGCTGGAGATGCTATTATATTATATTGCTTATTTTTCTTTATCATTATTATTATTATTATTATTATTATTATTATTATTATTATTATTATTATTATTATTATTATTATTATTATTATTATTATTGCAAAAGCAAAAAAAAAACCCCTAAAAAAGTCTGAGGGTACCCGGAGCCCAGAGACATGTGAAGATTGTACAAAAGAATCCATGTACATCCGACAATCATTTGAGATTAGCATGAAAGAATGTTATTGTTTGTAAAGCGAACAGTAATAGACTTTTTTCCTCTCTCTCTCTCTCTCTCTCTTAAGTAATTCGGTGGTAAGCTGAGAATTACAGCTTTCACACTAGGTTTGACTGAAAGATGGTAACAACCGCCGTTACAATGGGGCCGAGACTCATGTTAATTGAGTACATGACTAATTAAGAAAGATAGTTTAGTGTGATGGCTCAAGATTCACAATTCAGTATGTAACAATGGTGCTGTTTGAGTGATAAGAAAAAAAATGATGATAGGTGTATGTACATTGATGATATTTCATTATTATTATTTCTTTGGTCCGTATCGTATTTCACAATAATGAAATTCACTTGCTCGGCTATTGGATTATACTCCATAGTAATGAATCTACGACACACTAATAGAGCACAATAAAAAGTGAACTTAACATGCTAATATAACGATGAGGATTTTACAGTGAGCTAGTAGAAGAGGGGTGTGTGAGCGAGAAAAAGAAGACATGTAGTTTGGCTAGATGTGTCGGGGTTTTTTATTTTTTTTTATTTTTTGTGGTCGATCATTACCAAAGGGTCAGAGGTAGTTAGCAATAGAAATAAGTAGAGTCAGCACTCGTTATAGTAATAATTTAGCATGGAAAAGACATGGGTAAAATAGCCAAGCTTTAGAAGCCTTGTAGTATTATGGTCAGTCAGGCAAGTGGAGTTAGTATACTATCATTCTTTTCAAGGATTTGCTTTTTGTGGGGGGATATAATGATAATAACGTGTGAAGCTTTAATTGTTAGTTCAGCTAATTTAAACCATATAAATGTAAAATGAAGTTTCTGTATAATATGGTGCAATTTTTAGTAGGTCTTGTAGTATACACACTACAATTAAGTGAAATAAAAGCCATGGCCAAAAAACTGGTCTCTTCTTGCTAATAAACCTGGCAAGTTAACAATCTCCAGAACTATCACACACCAGGCACATATACACCACACATTCGTACAGTGTAAACCAACCAACCGTTACACAACACGGATTTGAATAGTAGCAAATATAAACAATATTACTTTGTCTCTTTAATAAATCATGCTCTCACAATATCTACTTCTCCTAATATTGAGATACTCATTCAAAATTAATCCCCAATACTCCACCACCAGCAACTCAATTGGATTATTTGTGCAAATGGTCCATGATCAATACCCACTTTCATTCAGTCAGACTTTATTTATTTATTTATCACCTGCTTCACTCAATTCTTACTGTCACAAATGCAATTGTACGAAGACGTGTATATCTTTGACTCTCTCATTTCAGGCTATAGACATTATCAGAGTAGTTTTACCTCTTACAATCTGCTCTTTTGGCTATATATATATCACATTGGTACGACCAGAACTCGGCTTCTTATGTCACATATCTCGGCTATCATTTTTTGTTAGCTATATCTTGTGTCTGCAGCACACACATTCAACGTCAACTGTCTTTACTGGGACCATCCATTGACCTCCCCGCTCTTATCATGTCTAAACCGTATCATATATCGTGCCTGTTCTCCATTTACTCTTTAATCATACATTCTATCCAAACTCTTGGACGCAAATGTCTCACTCATGGAATATTTCTCTCTTACTCGGCTAAGTTTTCTGCGACTTAATAAGCGTTATGATGATATCGGTATTTTGTATTCAACTCGTTATCAGCAACCCATTACAGTTCTGTTGCACTCACTCTCTCCTCCACGCCTACATCGATCACCCAATCTTTATTATACATTCTCTACAACATACCTTGAGCACACATTGCATGGCATTTAGTTACGAATTACCTATTTTCTTTCCTGAAGTGCAACCAGCCAGTCTAAAGTCGCCTTTCTCCATCACTGATACCCTCTTTTGTGTATTCGACATATATCTTCGTGGTCTCATATTTTGACTTCCCAATGACGCTATTTGTCTTACTTTGCCGTGTTCTTCTATGTGGTTACCACTCATAGAGGGTCTAATGGTACGAGGAGGGTACAATACGGCGGAAAAAAGGGTAACATGTTTCCACTTTCGTAACACAACTGCCATTCATTCCGCCGTAGTATATTTCAGTTTAAGCAGAATATAGGACTTTTACTTTATATTATTTTTCCTTAACTCTACGTGAATAGTACTAAAGCTTACCTTTATCATACGCTTCACCACTGTTTGTATAGTTTTCTCATCAAACTTCTTGCTTCATCAATTGTTTGTGTATCTTCTGATAAGATGTCTAGCTGTAGCCTTCAGGGGTTGTGGTTTTTATCAACAAGTCTGTTCTAATATCTTTATATAAGCTTTTATTTCTGAGCGGTCTTGGGTTATCCAGTGACCGT